GTTGTCATTCAAAGGCAGTGTGCCACAGACATAGCTTCGAATGTGGGCTCTCTGGTTTACTAGCTCTGCGGCCATGAGGAAGTCATTACATTCTGCGCCTCCATTTTCTCAACTTGGAGACAAGGAAGTTAGATCATCTTGAAGGTTCGTCCATCTTTAAAACTTTGTGACCTTAGGAAACAAGTGTCCCCCACGAAATGCCCATCCCCTGGTAATATGTGGGTTTTTGTTGTTGTTTTTTTTTTTAAGATTTTATTTATTTATTTGACAGAGAGAGCGAGCACAAGCAGGAAGAGAGTCAGGCAGAGAGAGAAGGGGGAAGCAGGCTCCATGCTGAGCAGAGAGCCCGATGTGGGCTCAATCCCAGGACCCTGGGATCATGACCAGAGCCAAAAGCAGAGGCTTTAACCCACTGAGCCACCCAGGCACCCCCCACTTTTTAAGATTTTACTTATTTATTTGAGAGAGAGAGGGGGCATGAAAGGGGGGAGGGTCAGAGGGAGAAGCAGACTCCCTGCTGAGCAGGGAGCCTAACGTGGGTCTTGATCCCAGGACTCTAGGATCATGACCTGAGCGGAAGGCGGAAGGCACTCGCTTAACGAACTGAGCCACCCAGGCACCCGGTTTCTTTTTTTTTTTTTTTTAATTCATTTGTGATTCTTGGTGCTGTTATCACATTCCTGGGATCGTGGATGAGCAAATCACCTTGCCACTTCCTGTCTACTGTTGGGCGGCACATACTTTGTAACTGATGTATTTTGCTATGTCACTGTTTTCTCCTCTTCCCATGCTTTTGCTTGTTTGTTTTGAAGGGGTGGTTGTGCTGACAATCTTGGAGCCCCTCTGCTCCCCTCTGTCCATCCGTCGGCAGGGCTCTGTTGATTCTCCTTGCACACATTCTATTACCCATTCATATCTCTCACTAAAAGAAGCTTGCTCAAAGAATGCTGCTGGGCAAATGGCATGATGGTCTTAGTAATTTGAAAACTTCCTGCAGTATGTGTTTTCCATTATTGACAATGGCGTTCCAGAAAAATATATGGCTCTGGCAAGAGTTTGGTCAATTTTTTCCTCTTCTTCAGGTGTCCCCTGTGTACTAATGAAGCCATTGGGAGTGCTTTGTATGCGGTGGCTTGTACCTCTGTTGGTTCAGGGGTCCTGACGGGCACCTCTTTGTGGTGATACTGATGTCACAGGAGACAGCGGCACAGCTGTGTGCGGAACACCAGGAAGCCAGTATGCTTCTTCCTCATCACGGGCCTCTTATCTCACATTTTAAAAATGTCTGAACAGCACTTCCCAGATTCAGTTTTTTAACTAGAATTTGGAAATGTGTCTTTCAGTGAACAGTTCTCTAGGCGACTTCCAGCACACAGAAGTTTCTGTATGCTCCAAGTTAGCCTGACTGTTTTGCGAGAGGAAAAGCCGGTGGAAATAACCATCGTTTATAGAGTAAAATCCAGGTTAGCTGGAGACACCTTTCCAGGAGTCCGACCTTTCTTCCTCTCTCCTGAAGCCAGGTAGGGAATTGTATGACAAAACCTTAGATTACAAGGAATTCATCTGTGTCATGTTGTAGGAACCAGGCAGCTGAAAATCAGAATTTGGGTACATTTAAATTCCTGTTTTTAAAGAAAGAAGCATCCCGAGTGCCTGGGTGGCTCAGTTGGTTAAGTGACTGCCTTCAGCTCAGGTCGTGACTCTGGAGTCCCAGGATCTCTGGAGTCCCAGGATCGAGTACCGTATCCATCGGGCTCCTTGCTCGGCAGGGAGTCTGCTTCTCCTCCTGACCTCTCTCCTTTCATGCTCTCTCTCTCTCTCTCATTCTCTCTCTCTCTCTCTCAAATAAATAAATAAAATCTTAAAAAAAAAAAAGAAGAAGAAGAAGCATCTTTCTTTTCCTGGCTGTTTTGTAGGCATTAAGATCAGGGACCAGGAGGAATTGACTTTCTATATCTTTCTCATTGCAATACCTCTAACTCTTCCCCAACTCTCCTTTGTCCTGGGGCCTCTTGTCTAATAAATGCCATATTATTCATCTCTCAGGGAACCTATAGATATTGCTGTCCTCATCCACTTCAGACCCACCACACCACTGAGAGACGGACAGGAGGAATGAAACTTTTAACAACAATAGAAGTCAGTGAAAGAAAACCCACAACAATGCAGATGCAGATTCTTTCCTGTCTCCCTGGGAGTCTGAAGGGATCTCTTGTCTGATGGTTCTGCTCTGTCGTCTGTTCTTGAATTCTAGGAAATGTAGGATCTTTGTTGTATTGGACAGGTATCAAGGAGAACCATTCTATCGCATGATAAAATGAGTGGCAATAAGTCACTGTCATCTCTCTCCATCCTATAAAGATTCATAATCCCTTGCTCAAACTGTTTTTAGAGAAAAAGCAGATTTCAGCATGTGCATTTTATCCCAGCCTTTACCTCTTCAAAGGAGACCAGCACACATGAAACAATTAGAAAACTGTACAACCCACCTGGAGTTGGCTAGAAGTCTAACAGAGCAATAGAGAATCAATCAGTAGGGTATTTACTGAGCATCATTTATTAATTTCTCAACTATGCAAGACAGAACAGAAGACGGGGCCCTGCCCTCAGTTTGATTATGGTCTGTTTGAGGAAGTAAGCCACCATACAGAACAGGTCCATTTCCTTACAAGAGATAATGACACGGTCAACCAAGTAGCACAGACATTCTAGAAGTTTAGAAGAAAGAAACTTCCCTGAGGGGTAGAATGGTAGGCATTTTAAGGCTGGAGGTGGAAAAAGAGGGAAACTATGAGGAAGAAGAAGGGAATCAAACAGCGAAAGCACAGAGATGTTCCACAGCACATACGCTTGTGAAAACAGTCCAGTTGAACCAGGCGGAGTGAGAATCAGCGCTAAGAAAGTCAGGTGGGAGAGTACCCAGGAGGCTTTGAAAGCCTGGCAGGGTGGAGGTTCCAACTGTGGCCTACAGAGAATCCGCGGTGGTTTGCACAAGGGCAGTGATATGTTGAGAGCAACGTTTCCTGGGGACTAGCCAGACAGCCTCACGTGGGATAGACTGGAGGGGCAGGAATGTGCGTGCAGGGAACACCAGCAAAAGCACTGTTATGGCAGACCAAGGGTGGGGGTGGGGGGGCTCAGGAGCTGAGCTCTGGAGGCTCTAGAGGAAATGGAGATGGGACCAATGGAACAGACATTGCTCAGGGGAATCGGGAACACCTGGTGACTGACTTCATCCAGAGGGGAAGGACCCAGGCTATATCAAGAAGGACTTCAGGGAGCCTGGGTGGCTTGGTTAGTTAAGCGTCTGACTCTTGATTTCAGCTCAGGTCATGATCTCAGGGTTGTTCAGGATTGTGAGATCAAAGCTCTGTATTGGGCTGGGCATGGAGTCTGCTAAAGATTCTCTCTCACGCTCCTTACCCCTGCTCCCCCCTCCCCTCCCCACCCTCCCCACCGCTTGTGAATGTGTGTCCTCTCTCTCTCTCTCTCTAAACAAAAGAGGATTCCAAAGATTTTTGGTTTGGTGGTCTTCAAGAAGGTCTTTAACACACCTGATTGGGAGGGGGGTAGGTCAGTTGGCTTTTATTCCCCTTAGGTCTGAGGCGACAGTGGGACAGCTAATGAAAATGTTCAGCAGGCAGCTGGAAATACAGAAACCTGAGCTGTAGCTCTGTATACTTAGGGGATGATGAATCACTCAGATGTGTTAAGGGAGGAATGAAGAAACTCACATCTCAGAAGAGTAGGAGATGAGGTGAGATTCAAGGAGAGAGCGGCAAGGAGAGCCGGGGTGTTTTGGAATAGCCATAGGGAGGATGAAGACCAGGGCAACTGATGAAAAGAAAATGTACTGGGCCAGATATGCAGAGTTCTGTGACTTCTCGCAGCCACCCTTCGCCTTCTCAGGGCCAGACAGAGGCGCTACAGTGGGGGAGTGGCACAGGTTGAAGAGGAGGATAAGGGGGATCTGGAGAAGATAAATGGGACCCAGGCACCACGTTTTCTCTAGCGCATGGAAGTGTGGGAAAGGGAAGAGGGCAAATGATTGTCATTAAAGATTGGGACATATATTGCAAGGCAGGTGGTGGTCCCTTCATGGTGATGGAGGGGACAGGCAAGGAAAAGAGGCCACTCAGGTGTAGCTGTGTCCCAGAGAGGTTTTTGGACTCGGGTGGTTCCCTTATATTGGCTTGCCTTACCTTCCCTCCAGGACACTGCTAAGGGAAGTCCTACCCTCCACCCTCCAAACTCTAGCCAGTAGAAGTTTCCAGGGACAGAAGTCCAGCAGCTGGTGGGGGGGGCACATTTTGCTCACTGGAACTTTATCCAATCCACTTGAACTGTTGGCTCAAAGCTCCCGATTTTCACTTCAGGGATGGTTTTCTATTGTTTAAATGCCATAAACACTAACAGCAAAATAGCTCCCTAGTGGCACAACCCCTCCCCCTCCCACCGCCCCCGCCCCAACCGCCTGCTTGCCACACCTGCCAGGCCCTGCACCTGCAGCTCTACTTAGAGAGGACAAGGAAGACCCATCAGCCCCAGCATGGGTTGGGGGGGGTTATCCTCCAAGCCTGAAGGGAAGATGGGGTGCTAGAGAGGCGAGCAAGATGATAGAGGTCCATTTGGTTACTGGAGAAACCACAGCTGACTGTCTTGCCGGAGAGGAGGAATAAAAGCAGGTCGTCTCCCTCCCTTCTCCATCTGGGTTTGGGCTACAAAGGGACACACGCAAAGCTAAACACAGGCACGTAAAACACGCAGAGAGACACAGAGCGCTACACAGAGCAGAAGTGCACAGCCCGTCACAGGACATTTGGGGAACAAGCTTAAACCCATGCAAAGGCACACCTGGACCCGCTCATTCAGACATTCTCCCACGTATCTGCACGCAGCTCTGTCCTCTCCAAGAGTTTGCTCCCACGAAGTACCCTGGTGTGAGCAGAGGCAGGCCTCTCTCTTCCAGGCCTCACCCCTTCCCCTTTGTGTTTTTCCAGGTCGTGACATGGCGAGCACCACTCTGCCTGGTTACCCCCCTCACGTGCCCCCCACTGGCCAGGGAAGCTACCCCACCTCCACCCTGGCAGGAATGGTGCCTGGTAGGTGACAATACTGCAGCTGCCCAATTTAGGTGGGGGTAACTAAATTGTGGGTGAGCTGCCGTGGGCTCAGTAGTCTGGGGGTGGGGGGACCCAACATCCCTTCCCCCCAAAACCAGTGCTGTTCTGTCCCTTTGTCTCCCTAGAGGCTGCAGTTGGTCCCTCATGAGCAAGCCAGGGAGGGAGTTTGCAGAAGTGGCTCTTGTGTGCTCCCACTGTACATCACGGCCCCTCCACAGGGCCCGCCCACCTGAGCCTGTGCCCCGGGAGCACTGAGCCTCAGCTCCTCTCTCAGCGCCCCAGCCCACCCCCAGCCAGCTGACACTGCTTGGAAGAGCCTGCCCTGGTTTCCATGGAAACTTGGAGCCAAGAACCATTTCCAGGGGCATTGTTAGTCACTCAGACAAAGCCACCCTGGTCCACACCAACCTGCAGGGAAAACCAGTGTGGAGAATTGACCCCACCCCAGGGAGAGGAAGGAGCTAGTCCCTAAGGAAGTAGAACAGAGAGGACAGGCTATGGCAGGACCCAAAGATACTGGCTTCAGAGAGACAAGCTAGAGCCCCTCGTCTCCTCAGAGGTACTGGGGCCCTTGTTCCTCCTGAGGAGCTGGGTCTAGACTGTGTGGATCAGAGAGGTGGAAGCCACACTTAGGGTCTGAGGAGCCCAGCTGGAGGTTGTGCTCTTCCCAGCCTCTCACCCCTGATTGAGAGCTGGGCTTGAAGCCACAGAGTTGAAGCTTCTATTAGCAGAAACACCAACAAACTCTTGTCTTAAAGAGGGTGAGGCTCGCTGGACCTGCAGCCCACCCCTGCTTGCAGCCCTCCCCTCATGCACAACCCTTATGGTGGGGGAGGATGAAAGAGGGTGACTGGCCCTATTCCTGGATGTCCATTCAGGGACAGCCCTGGCTAAACAGAGCTTGGGGGGGTGAGCAGTGGCAAAGAGGGTGCTGCACCACAGGGGCTGAAGGGAGTTAGAGGGCCTGGCTAAGGAGAGCTGGGAGGTGTGGGGGAGGGGATCCCTGCCCAGATCTGGAGTGGGGTTAGAAGTGTTGGGGACAAGGAGTGTCTTCTGGGAAGGTCCGAGCAGTGAGCAGGTGGAGGCTGGAGAAGGTCTTAGAGAGGTGGGGGTGAGGGAGGGGGTGTCTGCAAGGAGGTGGGGATGAGGGGAGCAGCAGAGAGCTCATGGTGGCAAGGGGGGAGTCGTTAAACAGAATCTAGTGCTGATGAGGAAATTACACTTGTTTCATTAGCGATGGGGAAGGAGATAGCTCAGTTCCTCTTGGTCACAGTTGAGCTCAGAAGCTCATTATCCTGCTGCACGCATGCTTTCCCTCCTCGTCAATAAACAGGCTTTCCAGTGGCTGCATCCCCCACCCCCACCCCAGCTCCCTCTCGGAGAGGGGCCCCTTCTCCTCTACTTAACCCGCGGTTAGGGATCACTGTAAACAGTCTGGGGTCATCACACAGGAGAAAGGGCGAGGGGGAAACCCGGAGGCCTGGCCTTTCTCCCGCGGAGGGAGGGAAGCTGCTTCCGACGGCTCCCAGCCCACGGGGCCCTCGGCTAACCGCCCCCCGGTGGACCGGCGGAGAGTCCACCTGTTTCCCACCGCCTCCTCCTGCTGCGTGGCCAGCGTATCCAATCCCTCGAGGGAAAGGCGGAAGGGGGGTGTTTCCCAGCAGAGCCCCCACCCCTTGCATTGGCACCTTGCTGAGATGCCAGTCTGAGGACTTTCTGGGACAAAGTGTCCCAAGGGCCTTCCTTCACCACCTTCCCCGGCTTCCATCCCGTGGGGCTATGGTTCCTAGAACCAGAGTGTCCACGCCCCCCAAAGCAGCGGGGTAGGCGCACAGGGACCAGAACAAACCCTTCCCGGATGGCCCAGAGTGCCTCCTTGGGGGAGCCCCAAGCCCCCGGGCCCGTGTCGGTGCTTCTGCACCCGCCCCACCACGGGCTCTCCCCACGCGGACCCGGTGGACTGCTCTGCCTCTGTCTGCCCTCACACCTTCTGCCGGGTCGCCCTGAGCGCCGCACCTGCACCTCGGACCCGGGGGGGAGGCCGCTGACCGGGCACGTCGGGTCCGCCCCGGCGTTGGGCTTGTCTGATCCCCACTCCCCCACCCTCCCGCAGGGAGCGAGTTCTCCGGCAACCCGTACAGCCACCCCCAGTACACGGCCTACAACGAGGCTTGGAGATTCAGCAACCCCGCCTTACTAAGTGAGTACGCCACCTGGCTGGCCGGCGGCTCAGCGCGTCCGCCCGTGGGCCGGCTCAGCCGGGCTGCCTCCCGACGCCGGTCTGACTCCCCGCGACCCGACCTTCGGGTGCCGGGCGGACGCGGGCTCGTTAGTGCCGCACTGAGATCCCGGGATGCCTTGAGGACACCCGTGCCTCCCGCCCCTTCCCTCCTTTTCTCTCCCTCCCCCGGGGCTAGAAGGCTCTCCGCCGCCCCCACCCACCCTGGCTCCCTCTGGAAGGCCCCCAGTCGGGCGGCGGCGGTCACCGATCGATCGGGTCCCTCTCCCACCGGTGAATGAAGCTCTCCCGTGGGCGACCGGCCCCGTGACCCAGCCAAAGTGTCCCTGCCCCGAGTCCGCCAGACCCCAGCCCCGGGAGGTCTTTGCTTTTCTTTCCTTTTTTGTTCTCCTGTTTGTCCTCTCACCCAGCCCATTCTTCTCCTGTGTTAACTTCCAGGTTCCCCTTATTATTATAGTGCCGCCCCCCCGGGGCTCCGCCCCTGCCGCTGCTGCCGCTGCCTATGACCGCCACTAGTTACCGCGGGGACCACATCAAGCTTCAGGCCGACAGCTTCGGCCTCCACATCGTCCCCGTCTGACCGCCCACCCCGGAGGGAGGGAGCACCGACGCCACGCGATGCCTCCCGGCCACCGCCCCAGCCCCACCCCCCTCCCAGGAACCCTGCAGCCCTTCACACCATCCAGTCGAAGGCCGGACAGGACGGGTGGAGCCGCGGGCGGGACCCTCAGGCCCGGGCCCACCGCCCCCAACCCCGCCCGCCGCCCCTCCCCGCCTGCCTGGACTGCGCGGCGTCGAGAGGAGGGCGCGCCCCAGCTCGCTCCGGCTAGGCCCGAGCCGGCCCCGGAGCGGACCAGCGGCCCCGGAGCGGACCAGCCACACCGCCCGACCCTGGCCGGGCCCGCCGCTGCCCGCGGGGGACACGTTTCTGTGACACACAATCAGCGCGGACTGCAGCGCGGCCCAGCCCGGGCGCAGCCCGCCTCGGACGCTCCGGCGCCGGGAGGCTTTGCTGGAGGGCCTGGGAGAAGGAAATTAAGAACGAAACGATTTTCTGCATAAGGAGGAAGAGCCCCCTGCGGAACCCTCGGGGAAGAGCCCTTACCCTAGCGCTAGCCGGACTGCCCCCACCTTCCGAGTGTGCCCTGCCCCAGGAGGTGGCATGGAATGGGGGCGTGGGGTCATCAGGTCTTTCCGAAGTTGGGACCCAAGGCACGCAGGCCCCAGCAGCGCGCACCCACCGAGCCCTAGTAGGGAAGCCCTTGGCTCTTCCCTACTCCACCTGAACTGCCTGGTTCCCTAGGGTCCAGGCACTCCTACTAGTGACCGGACTCTCAGCCCCACCTTGCCCCTACCTCAGCGTCTTTTCCATCAGCCGACCTTCTATTCTCCCCTCCTGCCGGTCCTTTTCCCATCCCACGACCCTCCGCATCTCTCTTCCTTAACTCCTCGCCCCTTCGGAGGCTCTCCAGTGCCTGCCGCAGGACCAGTTTCCGTAGGCCTCGGGCACTGGTCTTGCCCAGCGGCTACTGGATGTCCCCTCCCCCGACACAGACTCGCGATCTGCCGGTAGTAGGAGCCGGTTCTGAGCTGGTGTCTGGGGCGGGGCGGAAATGGGGGCTGCCCAGTCCAAACCCCCCCCCCACGACCCCCAGCCTCCTCCTCCGGCAGGAACTGAACAGAACCGTGAAAAGTCTACATTTATTTAATATGATGGTCTTTGCAAAAAGGAAAAACAAAACAGAAACTGAACAGGATGCTGCTTTGTAGAAAGACGGTGTGTGTCGTGTGAAGGCGAACCCCTGTGTATATAAGCCCGCCCCCCCGCCCCGCCCCCCCCCGTAGAGTCCCCGCTGCCCGCCAGCCCTGCCTGTAGATACGCCCCTCTGTCTGTGCTGTGAGAGTCGCCGCTCGCTGGGGGGGAGGGGGGGACACAGCTACACGCCCACTAAAGCACAGCACGTCCTGGGGGAGGGGGGCATTTTTTATGTTACAAAAAAAATTACGAAAGAAAAGAAATCTCTATGCAAAACGACGAACATGGTCCTGTGGACTCCTCTCGCCTCTGTTTCGTTGGCTATTTCTCTGTAATTCCGTGTTTTCGCTCTCCTCGTCTCTCCGCATCTCTCCCCTCTCTCCATCTCTCTCTGCCCCGCTTCTCTCCCCCTCTGTCTCTGTCTCTCCGTCTCTGCCCCTCCCTCGGCCTCTCCCCCAGCCCAGCCCCGGCCGCCTGGCCCACGCAGGCCCGCTCTCAGGCGGCAGCTCCAGCCCCCGGGGCTCGCCGCTCCGGCCGGGCACCGTGCGCCCTGGGCCGCCGGCGGCCGGGCCGCCCCGCCCCGTAGTTGCTCTCTCGGTAGCGGCGATGCGCCCTGCATGTCTCCTCACCCGTGGATCGTGACGACTCGAAATAACAGAAACAAAGTCAATAAAAGTGAAAATAAATAAATAAATAAAAATCCTTGAACAAATCCGAAAAGGCTTGGAGTCCTCGCCCAGATCTCTCTCCCCTTCGAGCCTTTTCATTTGAAAAGGAAAACGAGAAATGACTAGTTTAAGGGAACTGCCGGCGCCCGGCAAGGCTCCCGTGGCCCGAGCGGGGCGGCGAGAGCACTGGGGTTCAAACCCCGAGGCCCGGTTCGTCCCAGTCCCCGTGGAGCTGGCCAGGCAGGGGCCCCAGCCCCAGGACCCAGCCGAACCTTCGAGAGATCCCCCTGACAGCTCTGGTCTCCTGAGCCACTTTCAGCGCGTCGGTTCGTTTTGATTCTTTTGTTTTTCTTTCTTTCCTTTTCCTTTTTTTTTTTTTTGTGCACATGAGAAATAAAATAATAATAAATAATAAATAATAATAATAATAATAATAATAAAAATTTTGTATGTCACTTCCCACGGCTCCAGGTTTGTCTCTCCCTGTCTCTGGGATAGGCCTCCCCTCACATTGGTCGATCCCAAACAACCCCTCAGGGACCCTCGCACCGCGACCGACTTTCCACCCTCTCGCCCAGACCCTGTGGGTGGCGGCTGAAGGCAGGCGGAGGCCCAGACGCTTGTGCCCTTGGGTCGCCACCCGCACCGCCCACCCCACCCTTGGGGCAAGGAGTGGAGCTTCCCAAAACTTCAGAGTAACTTCGAGTTCCGCGTCTATACCAGGCCCTGCCTCTCCACCCGCCTCGGGCGGGCTCTCAGGACGCGACGTCGGGGCGCTCTCCCCACATGTGGGGCTTGTCTGCAGCGCCGGCTCCTTCCTCCGCTCAACGCGCAGCCGCAATTTCACCCCCGCGTCCGCCGGGAGCCGGCGGAGACCGCAGACGCTCGTGGCGCTGCCAGTTTCCTCGCTGGGCGTTCACTTCCAGGGCCCGACCGTGCCCGGCCCTGCGGAGACCCAGGGACACCCTGCCGCTCGCAGGACCTGGCGCGCCCTTGGGTTCGTTCCGGAAAGGGGGAGAGGGCGCACAGTTGCTTACGCCTGTGTGGCGGTAGGTGGTTTCCATTTCTGTTCGCGTGGGTCAGTCTGTCCCTTGGGGCGGGGGGCGGGGAGGTCCGGTGGCGGCGTGGGTAGGAAAACGGTTTTGTTTTTTCAGACACTCTTACTGTTCTTGTCGCTCAGTGTCCAGGGAACGATCTGTGTATCTGTCCCTGTGTCTGTTCCTGCGTTGGGGAGGGAAGGAGTGATTGTCCAAGACTGTCCGGGCTGCATCTGAGATATCTTGGAAGGGGTCCCCCTCTCTATCTCTTCAGCAACCTCCCCAGCCAGTGTCCACCTGGTCTCTGCTCTTAGAGACTTTCTTTCTCTGCCCTTGGGAAACCTGCCACTTAGCCCCCATGTCCCCCCTTTCCCATTTGAAAGGTTGTTGAAACTCTGGGCTGCCAAGGATGGCGAACAAGGCCTGGAGGCTGACTAAGGAGTGACCTTCTCCCTTGGCCAGTGTCTCCCAGACACCTCCTTCCCACCAGGAACGGAAAGGCCTTTCTTTCCCCAAGCCCATTTGCTCGGCTTCACCCACATTATGGGACTTCAGGAGGATATGAAGGGTCCCCCCAACAAATCAGCAACCCCCTAATCAAGTCGATTCCCTCTTTTCTCCCTCTAGGAGAAGGTCTCCTGCCTAGTCCCCATCTCATCAAATGACGGTCCCATTGTCTACCCTGCCCTGTGCTGCTCCTTTTGATCACGAGTCTCCTAAAAGAGTGGTCTTCAAACTTCTTTGATCATCCACATTATCAGTAGAAAGAATTCTGAATGTGCACTCCCAGTATAGGTATATTTACTTATTTGCCAATTCCATAGATATACTCCTGGGCTAACATTATGAATTTTAGGACATAAAATAGAAAAAGGACATGATTGGAATACATAGAAATAGAAGTTGTAATGGTCTCATCTCATGCCTAAATGGATTATTTTGCACTCCCTGGAAAATGTACACCCCACTTCAGAGATCCTGCTTAGAATCCATCAAAACCCAACATGGCCGAATTCCTGTCTATTGCCTGATACCCAGTAGGTCCCCACTGCCTGGCTTTGCCTCCAGGTCCCCCAGACTGGGAACCCTGCCCTGCCCAACCCATTAAATTGGAAGCCATGCCCTTCCCTGGGCCCCACCAAAACCCCCTACCTTCTGTTCTATTTCTGATCACTTTCAGACCAGCTTGGACAGCAAGGATTCCACTGTCTACAGTGACCACCTTCGCCCAGAAGCTTTCATGTTGTGTTGTGTCCCTCCTGAGGCACTGATTTCTGCTTGGAAATCTGAGGCCCCCCAGACTGTTCCGTACTCTTTGACCAGTTTCCTGTTCTAATTGCAGCCCCATTTACCTACCCCAAACACAAATAGGGCCCACTTCAGCATTCCCCAGAACTCACCTAATTCTGGCTCTGCAGGCCCTGTCCCCGTCCCACCCCACAGAGATCCCAGCTGAGGTACGCCAAGTATGACAATTAGAAACAGATGAAGAAAGGTGTCCTGGGTTGAAGGAACAGCAGGAACCAAGACATGGAGGCATGGAAATATACCAGATAAAATGTGGCTGGAGTATCAGGTGCCTGGGGAGAGTTAGGGGGTGGGGGTAGAGAGAGATGGCAGGAGGTGAAGCGTCAAAGTAGTTGAGAGCCAGGACACTGTACTGGAAATGTCAAAATCATATCCTTCAACTACACGACTCCTTTAGGGTAGCTGCCCCACTCCCAGCCCCTCCTGCCCTTGTAGACACCATATCTCTCTACTCTGCTACGAGACGGTTGGACTCCAGTGTGAATCCAATCCAAGCCAGTCAGGACAGAACACAGGATGCAGGAAAGAATAAGGACATTCCCCGAGGGAGCAAAGCCCAGTGGAGGCCCCGAGGGGATTCCCCAGCTTTTGTCACCTCAGTAAAGGACAGCTGAAGTCTACCGCTCACTCCAAATCTGCACTCACGCCTTTGTCTTTCCCATCTCACGTCTGACCCCCAGCACGAGACAGCTCCACCATTAAAAGAGGCACGGAACTGGACCACTTCTGACTACTCACTCTGTACTGTCCTAGACCAAGCCACTGTGATCCTTTAGCTGGGTTTGCAAAAGAACATTTTAATTGGTCTTTCTGCTTCCATCTTTGCCCCATCCACCCCAGCCCATTCTTACCCCAGCAGCCAGAGTGATGCTCCAACATGGAGAACAGATCATGTCCCCCTTGCACATGTTCTGGCTGTCTCCCCCTCACCCCTGCCCCACCCTCACCGCTACTCCCTCCTGACCTCACCTCCAGACCTCCCCCTGACCTCCTCCAGCTCACCTCTGCACAGTGCTTCTGTTACTACAAGCATGAGCCTTCCTCCCGCCACCCCGACGGCTCCCCGCTTCCTTAAGGGCTCTG